ACATTGAAAACCAGATTTGAGCTCAAAATACTTTGTATCTTTGCAGGGCCTGGTTAGTAAATAGCAAAGTCTTCTCAATGCTTTTGCTTATAAATTGCTAACATCTTTCTGACAGATTTATCAGACTTGATATGAGTGCCATAGAGATTGTCAAACAGTAAGTCTTAAAGTAAGATGTTGACAATGTCCTTGTCAAGAACTGTCAGCTGTAAAGTAAGGTCAATACCATGTGAGGCATTATTATAATCATAGAGATGTAGGTGGCTCACAGCCAAGCACAAAAAGGTAGTACTACATATACATCCTTAATGAGTTCAGTGTGAAGATAACAAATATGTCTTAAGTTGAAATAATAGCTCCATAGACGGGTTTTTCTATGCAAAATGTGAGATGGATAATTAGAGTGATTATAATGGAAGATGGTAGGTAGACAAATGTTGAGAAACTTAGCTTTTCATTTCTGACCTTATGAACTGTGTGTTTGGAAGTCTCTGTAAAGATGAGTCTGAATAATCAAAATATTCATCAAATAAGTCAGAAGGAGAAATGGCAGTAAAAAATGCACCACCAGGCCTAAGACTAAGAGTAGCTTCAGAGCATTCCACAGAATTATCTGTAAAGATAAAAACTTCTCCTAGAATCCATCCTAACAGATTGGTTGAATTGTTAAAGGGAGCAGTGGTGTTTATAGATGCATGATTAGGCACCTTGAAGTGCTACTAGAATCCCTGACCATAGCACCTGAAGGAGGAGATACTGATCTTCCAGATTAAATGGCTAGTGGATTGAGGTCAGAAATAGTAGCGGTCATTGTGAGTGCTTTCCAAATAGAGCATGGAGGCATTGGTAGGGCATTTGGTAGCCTTAAGCTCATAGTGAGGAACAGAACTGGTCCTTCATAAATTGGGTGAGACATTGTGTAGGTATCATAATAGAATATCAGTTAGCATTGTCCAAGGCCATGTATAAAGCATATAGAAAGCTTATGAGTAAGTACAACAGCTTATAATTAAATGAAGTCAGAAATGAAAATGGACTTGTCAAATTGAAAGACTAACATATATGAAACTCAATAATCATTTGTAGATACTTATGTTACAGAATTCCTTAAACAAGGCACTTTGTGCTACTTTTCAAGTGTGATCAAATAGCTCCAGTCTTTTACAATAAACTTTTGCCATAATTAGGATGTGTTTTCTTCTAGTGATTAGTGACCATATTTTCAAATAGTGTGTTTTCCTTATAGACTTTGTGGGGATTGTTGTTCATTTAATCGGGGTTTATATCAAAAGTCTTCTTTGTCAATTTCTTGTTTTAGCCTACAGTGTCCTACAATGTTTACTTAGATGATGTTAAGACCGTACTCAAGTAGTATCGGATCCGAAGGGCTTTGGCCTCAGCTCGTGGGCTGTGCCCCTTTCCCGAGTCTTGCCCCTTATTTCAGAGTACTAGAGTATCGCGTCTAGTGAGATGGATAAGTATCGTAACGGATCCGTTAAGGCTTCAAGATATCGAAAGTATAGAGTAACGGCTAATCCGGATCAGATCCGAACTAGAAACTAAAGGGTGAGGACTGTCCGAAGACAGAGACAGATGTATAGACTATAGGAATCAATCCTAAGTCTCAGAATAGACAAGAGTATCGTACTTGAGTCCGTACGGATAACTGAGGGACTTAGAGTCCAGACGGAATGAGTGCAATCTAAGATGATATTCGAACTGATCTACTACAGCGCATGTACAAGGGTTTATATACTACAGATAACTAATGGAATGATCAATAAGCAAAGGCGCAAGGCTATGTACGAAGTATAAGCAAAGTATGTGCACAGCGTATCAGTAAGTCGGATGGATAACGAATCATAACCGGGAATGAAGTATAAGTTAAAGTGGATCAGTAAGTGCAGCGGATCAGTAAGCATAACGGAAGTAAAGGATAACCGGTATACCAGTGTACAGGAATGCCGAAAGGAGATGAACGATAGTTAGAGTTATATGAACAGGACATGAAATAAGAATCAGATCAGATCTGTGGACTGGACGACGGATATGTCCATCGGATCTGGATCGGATCTGCACCCGGGAATATGGTATATGACAGATTATCTATGCTGGCTAGATTAGTTCCTGATGTCATTCACTCTGTAGCAGTGATTACATTCTTCTGTGTCATCTAGAGTTTTCAGCTTTGTAGTGTTAGGAATTGTGAAAATATGACATACTGTTAGTTATATGATGATTCACCTCTACAGTACACTTTCCTGTGTGTTTTATCTCTATATATGTACCATTATACTTACAGTATCATTCCTCACATTTCTCTGACTATTTACATGATGTTACATATGATGCGAGTTTGCAACTGGAACTTAGATGGGGGCTCTTTCAGACTGTGCTGACTGATGTTTCCATTATGATATCTATAGTATATAAACTCAAGTAACTCTTTGTACGTCATCAATTTAAATATTAACTTAGTACTTGCTTATTCCCATTTCTTTAGACTTGATTTTTATCTCTTGTCAACTTTGAGCCTGAGAATTAAATCCTTGCAGGCTATATCTCCAGCTTTACCTTAGGGTGTGTTGCAGAGCTGGTTGGCCTAGAAGGAGTGCATGGTAGCAATACAAGTGTTTGACATAATTATAAATGGTGAAGGGCTCAACTTAGATGTTTTATGTTTTATAACTCCTGCTGTAGCATTGCAGCACTGTCAAAAGAAGTGTCAGCAAATGTGAGAGTTTGATGGACTTAGCAGAATCTCAAATTTAGATGTGAACTACCAGTGATCCTCAACTATCCTATGAATTGATTCAAATGAACATTTCAATAGCCTTTAATGTAGAAGGGGACTTTATTTCCGATAAGGCAATTTTTTGAGCTGGAAAGTAAGTTTTTTTTTTCATGATATTGAACTGCTACAAATGCCTGATCAGCTGATGTAGTGGTACTAGCCAGTATTACTGTCCCACCTGTTTAATACCATTGAAGAGGGTAGATGAACTTTGTATTCACCTGACAGATGATCTATACTGCAATGCTATGCCAATCCCACATGCACTTTGTCAACCTGCTAGTTCAGGTGAAAAACACATGGGTCATTATCACAACAAGTTTGGGGTCTATCTATGATTTTAATCAGCTAAATATGTTTAAGCACATTAAGGCTCATGACCATGAATCTGCTCACAAAGATAATGTGTACTATCCATTTTTGGGAAGGAAGGAATGGAAACTCACAAATTTCTCATTGAGAATCTGAATCAGGCGCAAATAAGTTGTTTTTTGAAGCTATTATAGGTAAGTGATCTTTACATTGACTTTTAAATTCAAACAGCTTGCTACTAGGTGAAATCGGAAGCATGACAACAGCCTATATTCAAAAATGTGCCACAATAGATAACCCCTGTAGACACCCTGCCAAAGGGACTGCTGTAGTGCTGCATGATAATTGAGTATATTACCACTTATCCTGTTCATTTGATTTGACATGATGCCTTGAAAGTATCAAAGCACATATTCAGCAATCTAGTTTTTGCCAATAACATGGAATTTGATCCATATGAAGTGTTTGTTAACAGCATTGAGTTTGTGTGCACATGATATCTAGGCTTGCAGTATTTTTCATATTTGAAATACTGATTTTAACAACAGTTTAAAAACTCCAGTCACTTGACAAACAGAAGGTCTTAAGATGCATTCCATGTTCCTTACTATTGCTAATATCTGATTTGACATTTGCATGAAAGCTACTGCTCATGCATGGCCATGTATCACATATATGCCCATTCTCCAGTATGTCTGCAATCCTGACTTCCTGACCTCCCTAGGTTGTCCCTAGGTCAAGTTATTCCTTACCTTTGGATTGTGGCGTGTCTGTTTACATTTGTTTATCAAACATCGCCCATATCCTAGAGTCCAGTGCTCCTTGCCTCTTTGGCAACTTACTCTGGACTCTAGGTACTGTATACTCTTACTATACTCCAATACATTGGCAACCTACTCTGGACTCTAGTCCTGATAATATCTGGTCACTTATTAGCCTCTAGAAGCGGCCCACTTCATTCCCATCTTAACAGAAAGTGCTCCAGTTGCACTGTTGAGAGTGCTCCAGCAGCACTGTTGAAAGCACTTGAGTTCTGTCAAGAGCCTAGTCTTCTGCATGAGCAGGCAAGACAGACTGAGTCATTGAACAACTCAAAGTAGGCGGAATGTGCTGTGTTGCAACGCTAGCATGAGTTGGTGAGATCACAACTGATAAGTTGTTTGTGCCGGTATGGGAAGATGTCAGAGTGAATGACACATTGAATTGTGCACTTGAAGAATGGATAGGTGGTGTGGAGGGTCTGCGAATGGTGTGATGACCAGTCTTCGGATCTTCGATGTAATCCTGTCGAGAGACTACATCACAGAAGTTGTTGTGACCGAAGTTAAAATTCTCGTCTTCATCATCAGGTGAGACCCAGATTGTAGATGCTCCCCCATCAGTATATTTCGTTTCACGGCATATGTATCATGGTAATGGTGTTTGTTGGCAATCTGGACCTGTCTGCACAAGTCGAGCCATTTCCAATTCCATCTCTAGATGCTCCGCACAACACTCAGCATTAGCATGCTTGCGTCCAGACTGCAAGAGCTGATCACGAAGTGAATTAATGGTCATGTGTGCATCTCGCAGCTGGTTGGATGTAGATACAAGTTGAGTGGTCTGCAAAGTCCAAGCAGTGCGCTTGTCATCTCAAGCAGCTTGAAGTTGAGGATCAAGCGAAGCAGTGATTGAAGTTAGAAGATCAACACCTGAGGTGCATGAGGTGCGAGCTCAAGGAGTAGGTGTGCCAACAGAACAACGGGAAATACTGAGGGCGGGCTCTTGTATCTCAGTCTTCATGGAGACCTTTGGTGTCCCGGCTCACTGAGGCTCATCTTCGTCACTCTCCCGATATTAATAACTTCATCGGCAAATTCATCCTGATCAAGATCCCAGGTGCCAGCCTTCTCGTTCATGCGAGGTCGATTTCGTGAGCGCGTTCAATGTGAGGAGGGCACTCAGCATCACCAGTTGGCTTTGTAGTGTGAACCAACTTAAAGTAAAATATCAGCACTGGAGTTCACAGTATATAAGAGCACATACCAGCTTAAACTTAAGCTCAAGAGATTTTGCGGGATGAGTGGGACAGTCATGGCTATCTGCCCATGCAGCAAACTCTTCCGCAACAGCAAGCCAACCCTTTGCACCAAGCGGAAGACAGTTCATGCATGCATCAAGCAGGGCAGCAACATCATCATCATGGTAGTTTGGTGTACCCGAAGTATGACCACCATGACTTGATCTTTTCGTGATTGGTGGCTCAATTGTGGTGAGTGCCTTCCTCTTCCCTTTAGCTTGGGATGACACTGCATTGGGACAGTGGCTACCAGCAACTTTGCAGGCGGGCGCAGGTTGTGTGAAGGGCGGAGACAGAACCTGGTTTGCAATCGTATTGTCGTCCTCACCATCTGATTGCCCATTTGACCAGCGGGCTGCATAACAAAAAGTTCAGCGCTTTGTAGGAAGTTAGAAAGAGATTGGTAATATGCATATTGAATGTAGACATACACTTTATATCGCCAAATGCATAGCGCATTGCACATGGTGCAGAATGTAGCATACACCTGAAATAATCACCAATTAGCATAAAAGAGATATCCGGGAGACTTGGACTTACAAAGAATATCATAACAATGCCTGCATCCTTTCTTATCCTTGCCACATCACATGGAAATGCGCTGTGATCACCTTGAAAAATTGTAAATGAAGTCCTGGCATGAATGGGAGCACACATGGTGCAGAATGTAGTGTGCACAGATTTACCAGACATTTGTTTGTGCGGGATGACGTCGCAGACATTGAAACATCATTTAGAACGAATCTGGAACAGGGTGCATTTGATGTGTGGAATTGGAAGTTGCTTACGTTTCACAGCAGCCCCTTGGCACATAGGGGTTTGAATCATGTATCTGGATTTCCAAATCCCACAGGAAGTCATCCAATTATATTTTACTTCTGGCCCACTTCCATATTGCACAATTTGCTTCAATATAAATCCAGTCTGCACTGTCAAATGTACAACCACCCATACTTAGAATGGATAGCACAAGACCTTCTCCTAGCACATCAGATGCATGCCACATGTGTTCCATCTGCAGAACCACAACCTACAGAGCCCAGAAGTGCTCTAGAGTGCAAAGAAAGCTTCCACCAACCCTTTATAAAGCTGATACCTAATTGAAAGAAATAACAAAAAGAATCCTCAGTTAGTACAGAATCACCACTAATAAGAACAAGACAACAGCTTCATACTAGTACTCCAATGATGCACCTCTCTAAATTAATAAAAGTGGAATTTGAAGTTGTCTTCACAGAAAACATGGATTCTGCTGAGTGGTTGACATTCTAGCTCATCTCAGAGTATGCTAGCCCTAATGTGAGCAGTAAGGATAAAAATATCAGAGAACTCACTTAAAATTCAAAATACAGATGCAAGAACACATTAAGGGCTTGTAAATATAAGCTAAAACAACACTGTAGCTCAAGTTCCAATGTCACAGTCAAAAGTGAAGACAAATTTGTTCAGTTTCTTAGCCTTTGGTCTCATCTTAGTATACCACATTGCTATTGTAGGATAAGCATATACTAACAAGGATTCACATTGAGTGATGTAAAGTTGAATTCTTAGTCAAAATTGTAATACATCTTGAAAGTCATGTGTTTTTGTCCAATACAGTCTTCAATACTGTTTCTGTAGACAATACTTCTACTGCTTCAACTATAACACAATCTCAGCACCCCAATTACTCAAGCACCTTAGCTCATCCTAGATGTGCCCTTTACTCAAATCATTGATGGGCACCCTTAGGACATGCTCACAGTTGCATACCTGCACCTATAGTTCTCTGCAGCTATATCTTCAAGATAGTGTGATCTATGGCCTGGTGTAGGATCTTCAGGGCTGGACCTGGGGGCATGAAGGAAATAGTGCAATATTCAATTTTCCTGGATTTCATAGTAATGATAGGTCAAAAAGGAGCTACACAGATCAAGGCCATTCTCCAGCTCCTGCATAAACTATATAGACTCATTCTCTTTCCAAGCATCTCCCTAAATACTTCCCCTTCAACTTCTTTAGTTTGGCCTCTTTCTGTACCAGTTCTTCCTTCTGCTCAGCCAGTAAATATATTTTCCTCCTGGAGTAGTCTAGCTCTTTCACTGTTTAGTGCAGTTGTCAGATGGTATATGTGACACTGCACAATGCCAAACACATCAGATTAGAAGGTAGGCAACTGTGGAAGATATCAACACATGCACTTATCCATTTGGACTTCCAGCGCCATCAGCCTTGAAGGATCCTGCCGCTTGGGCCATCTTGGAACATTTCCTCACCACAGAGTTAACTTACACTGATATGGAAGATCAATTCTGCACGTACCTCAGTGATCGACATCACCAATCTGATTGGATCAATGTTAGGGTGGCATTGTTTTCTGATGATGGCAATGATAAGGTAGCCCTTGCAAACCTCCATCTGGAGAAGCTGAAACACTTGGTGGAACCTCCAAAGAAGTCAATTCGTGAACCTTGACGGTCAGTAAGTTATCAGTCATATTAATATTCCTATACTTACATCTTTCAGGCTAGAAATACTTTCCTTGATATCGAAGCAGGGGAGGGAGGGAGTGATGAGGATAAAGAGGATGAAGAGGATGACACTTATCTCTTGCACTAACATTACCATCACTCTTGGTTTCGATCAGGTTTGCATTGTGCAGCATCAACAGATTTGATACACTACGCACCTTACCATACATTAGAATGCCATCCGCCTGCTTTGAAATATGGTTTGGACATCTACTTCAGAATACAGTGTTGGCTACATTCATTCTAGTTGTAGATTAGGATATATGCAATGAAATGGGGCAGCTTTACTCCCCAGTATTAAGAGGAAAGTGTACACTCTGGACAAGCAAAAGATGCATGATGAACTGGGTCTGTCTAATTCCCTCCTATGTCTATGCACCCCTCTAGACTTTCCTCCCTAAGGTGCATTTAAATTAATTAAACAATTTATGCGCTAACCCTTTAGAGTTTGATCCTGGATTATCTCTGCGAGGCAGGGCTTCCTGCTTCCCCTGGCCTGAAGGCGGATAGTGCTGGAACGCCAGGGCAAGCAGGGACTGGTACTCGTGTAAGAGTTAGATGTTGTTAAGGCTTGGCTTACTCTGAGAGGGTTGTGGTCAGTAATGGACTTAACAAGAATGTCTATTACCCACATCATTCATCACTGGTTGCAATATGCACTGTATCAAAATGCTAACCTCAAACTTTTGACACTTAATAAAGTGGTAAGTGGTGTCACCCTAATGTTCCTGTGGAGGGAGTTGCCTTCTGCAGAACCTTTACTTTACCTCATGCCAAAGGACATTGTTAGGAGGACCTTTAGGTCAGATGGAACTTGGGGTTATGTAAGTCACCACCTTATTCTCTGCTCTCAAATCTTTCAAGCCCCCTTAGGTCTACCTTAGGCCTCCTTCACTATCAGACCTTGAACATTTCAACATATATGCCCCTCAAATTTGCGCCATTGTCTCCTGGCAGTGCAGTTTGGGCCACTATGCCATAGAGTCTTTCAAAGCCATCTTTCAATCCCATGCCTCTAGATCCCAGGCCCCCTTCCTTCCCCATCTTACCTGCCTACAACTAACCGCCTGCTTGGATCCCCTCTTGGAATTTGTGCCCCAAATAATCCATATGGGTTTAGATATGCTCATACTCTCAGAGTATGGCATGGGGTTGGACTCCATTATGACGGGTATCCTCAGCACACTCCCTCCCCTCCATAATCTTGGCTACGTTGATTTGAGTCAACATCTTAGTGATTTCGCCTGTCAGATTCACATGATTCCTTCCCTACAGACTCTTAGAATACCCATTCTCAAGTCCAAGGAAATGTGCGCAATCTTCTCACATCCCTCCCTACTCAACCTAACACTTGTCATCCATGACAAAGTGTACCTGCCAAAGTGCACTTTGACATTTCATCACCCCCTTCATTCTTTCAAGCTCATATTCTAACACTCCATCTTGTTCAGTGGCTTGGACCACGAATCTTTTGGGGCTACCATCACTATATTGTGCAAGGTCAGGGTCCCTTGCCAGTGTTTTGGTATCACACCCGCCTTACAACTTTGGCAGGAGTGAATTGGGCACATTCATCTGATGCCTGCCAGCTGAGAGTCCTTATGGCATTGAGCCTGTGCTCCAAATCCTGGGTCTCGCACATTTTACCATGGATGTGGGAGGTGGACATTACACTCTGCATGACAGTGCCCCACTGAGGGTTGATTTTCTTCAACTGCTTTATCCAGCTGGGCTGACACACGTTGACCTTACCCTCCTTCAACATGTGCAGTCTCAATGATGACGCCCTCCTTGACCTCGCTCTTAGTATGCCGCAAATGGAGGCTCTATTCCTTGAGACCTCACATCATTGGTCAATCCCTCCTAGTGCATCACTAGCCGCAGGTAGGTCCATTTTGCTCAATTGTCATGGTTTAAGACAACTGGGACTCGTATTTTCCTGCAGTCTGGGCACTTTGGACTCAGATCTCCTCTCAGGTAACAAGTTGATCAGCAAGCATTGGCGTCTGTCTCCCCACCTTACAATGACATCGCAGTTCCAGTTTTCTGGGCTCACTCCTTGCCTAATCTCACTATGATTTACATAGAGCCTTATGATCTTAGCTTCTTACAAGCTAACTACGTTCATAATGATCATCTTACATGAGTTAACCATTGGCAGAAAATCTTGGAAGGAGGACCACAATAGCAGATCCCGTTCAATCTAGATATATTGACATGTAGTATATTTAGATTACACGTATTTAGACTTCATTATCACCTCTGGTAATATTGCTCATCCCTACAAATCGAGCAGGTTCTATTGAGTACATAATATTTCTCTCCTCTTCCTCAACTCCATACATGTGATCAGCCTCAGAATGTACAAGTAGGATGCACTCATCTCTACATCCTCCATCATATTTGTCTGGAATGCAAAGATAATCATCTGAATACTCAAAGGGAAGAAATTGTCCAAGTCTAAATGCATCATCTGTAGACCTTGACCTTGATATTCGCCTGTCAAGTCCAGCATCTGCAAACTTAATACATAGTCTGTACATGTAATATGGCTTGCAAGTGCTGCAGCCATGGGAATGCATGTAATAACACCTGCTCTTCATTCAGCAATGGTAAAATAAGCTTAAAACGCACCAATGGATGTTTCTATCTTAGTAAAGCCATACTTTTTGTAACCCATTTTACAGATCCAGGTGTCTCAATATTACCTGGATCATTGTCCCTTGAAGCACTTGCTTCAAGGACAGCTTCCCCCACCCCAACAAGTCAAACCTCTGCACCTGCTGTCCTTGTTCAACTCGTTCTGTGAGGTCAAGTAAGGGTTATATCCAACTATCAGCACCTACAATAGGTAAGAAAAACAGTGCCACTGCAGAGAAAGCTACTGGATCAGGGAGCCAAGAGACTCACACTGATCAACGATGCCACTAGACACCTGAAGATAAAACACAAATGATTGACTACATTATCACCCACAAAGTGAAGGGCAGCAATGGAGTTAACTTCAACAAGACAATTTTCTGGGGCCTGGTGGCCCAAGATATGGCTTCATGCTCTATAATTGGTGTGGTGAAGACAGCAGAAGTGTGTTTGCAGAAATGGGTTCGGGTGCATTATTTTTTACCCCAATATGTGCTCAGATACTAAAATGACTTCAGTTGCACACCACCTTTCATGTTGTTCATAGGGTAGTGCACTATTCAGGTATCTCATGGAGCACAGAGCATGGTGCTGATATCACACCTGAATCTGAGATGGTATAGGCTGGCACATCTGGATGGTCGGATTCCGGCTCTTTGGTGTAAAGGATCTCTACGTGGTATGTGCGACAGGGCATGGTGAAGATTGGGCACCTGAAGAAGTACCCGCACAGGTGGATTTGCATGACGGTGATTAATGGCGCGTCTGGGTAGTGGTGTGCAAGGTACGGTTCGGTGGACACGTTCTTTAGCATGTGTGAAGACCATGTGCAGTCAGGGCGGGAGATACTCAGTGACCTAAGGAAAATTGCTGTCAGCTATTGCACAATGGCAGGGTGATGAAGGATAAGTTTATTCAGATATATGACATGCTCACTGTCATCTTATTGGAGGTGAGGTTTTTTGAAGTCAAACTTGATGAATATGCTCCCTCCATACCTGCTTCGAGGCTCTCATCTGTACATTACTATGAACGAGCTTGATAGACATACTACAATCCAATAAACATTATCCGTCAAAATCCTGGGTGTGATTCATCATTGAAATGGCATAACATGTAAGACTTATGCTGAAATGACGAGTAGCGAACATGGCGAACGGGATGGCAAACAAGTTCGCTATATTACACAAAACACTACTGGGAAGCAAGATGTAGATGTAATTAATCACACCAACCCGTCTGACGGCATGAGGATAGCCTATTTGTTCATATATGAAAGGTCCGGTGCTCCAATTTGTGATGTGGAAGCACAGACATAGTACTCACTGGTTTGATGCTCACAAACTCGTTGAACTTGTTGCATCACTTAAAGCGGTAACTGCATCACCATGCTTCAAAAGTGTCAATGCTGTACTATTACTTCAACTACCTTTGACTACTGATCTAAAATGTGAAAGAAACATTCAAGTAACAGTTACTCAAGCAGGCACACTCAGAATAACAAATCAATATGAATCTTGATGCTCATTCAAGTGTAGTGTATGTGTATAGGGGACTTGATCTACTCAGAACTGAGATTGCGGATCAACAGATCAATACACATTTTTATTTTGCTTGTAATAGAGTCAATGGTTTGATGCAACAACTATGTATATAAAAACTACGTATATCCAGTCTAGTACCACGTGACCTGGCTCATCTGTTCCAACAGGTCCTCAATATGCGTCCAGATACTATCCTCGCTGGAAGTTGCAGACAAGGCAGGCAATGCAGAGATAATGGTATGAGGGAATGGAGTGGCCAGAACAACCACCTACATGGGGACGCACTTCCACCGCGCCTTCCTCGTATTCCCTCATATACAGGTGCAAAGCATCTGCCCAAGTCTCTTGCTTGACCTGAATGGCTCCACTGATGCCCAGAGTACGTTCACCAACATCAAGCCTAAAATAGTCAGACACATAGTTAGTAAAATGAGTGGAAATGAATTCAAAAGTGACGTACCAGTGAAAGAAAATTCCTACCTCCTGACCCACTGTAACGACCCAATAAGCATCAGGTTCTTCGCCGGGATACGGCGCACACAGCTCGCTAGGGTGAGGGATGGGTGGGACGTAAGGAGCAACGTGCTCCATGACATCTGTGAGGGCATCTGTAAGAGGGCCACCAGGATCTGATCGAAGGATCTGATCCGAAGATCAGATCCTGGTGTGGAAGGTGGCGACAGGATGCTGGATTGGTGCGAAGCATTTGATAGTATAGGCGGGGGTGCACGAGGATGAGGGTTAGAAAAGGTGATGTGTTCCTCGTCGGTGATAATTGTACACTGCTTGCTGTACGTGATAGTCTCAATGGGAAGATCTATATTAAAAGTCAGCTGGCTTGAGTTCAGGTATAAAAAATCACGCACCTGATACAGTCATTGCCTGTAAGAGCTCCTCTGACCCACGACATCTACCTGAGGTGGTCGAAGAACTTGCGGAAGAAGCTGTCATCCGAGACATCTAAGATCAGCAACTTAGACAGAACGCAAGGTCAGTGGTCACGTGAATCAATTGTTGCACTTCAAGCTTTCAAGTGTGTTGATTAATAATATATGCGTCAGAACATGCTAACAAAATCCCGAAATCAAACGCGACTCACCACTCAAAAGGTGAGGCAATCAAAGCCGATCACAACCAGCACGGTTTCCGAGTGCACACAATTGAGGTTTATGGGCCAAAGGCACTTGCGACTCGTGCCATCAAGGCCCATGAAGAGCAGTGTGCCTGACTGCAAGGTTAGTTTTATTTTTATTAGCCAATTTCAAAGACTTACAGTTCTACTTCTACAGCGATGTCCCCTGAGGAGCGTCGTAGGCTCGAGGCACTTGCCCAGCAACAGGCAGGTAGCAACACTTTTGACATGGACTATGACAATGACAACACAGATTTCGGCAATATATTGGACGGCACTCACACAATTGAGATCAGCCATGCGGGAGGTGAGTTTGAGGATCTCGCAAGAGAGATATACGGGGACTTTTGGACACCGTAAGTCTCCAGTTTGAAGGCTAACATATTCACTAACCTTGCATTGATAGAAAATCTGCAAGCAACAAAAATGCCATGTGGATCACCGGACTCGCAGGGATCGCATTAAGCGCCGTGTTGATGCCTTCGATCAACAAATGTTTGGACTTACTGATGCCTGCCTTAAATGGAATCACGAGCGTGCTCAGCACGGTTTTAGAAGCTTCTTAGAGGTTCATAGGACTCACCAGTCGCATGTGGATCCTAACTCAGGCTCTTGGGATGTTCAAGTCGTTGATATTTATTGTAAGTTTCATTTCCGGATTGCATCCATTGGCTAATGTATAATTTAGACGCTGAGAAGGTCTCGGTAACTATTGCTTCAACTGACCACTTTGTTGCATCTGCTCTCGTCCACCATGGTGTCATCCCTTGCTCCCCGATATCACCATCTGTCACTATATCGATGCTTTAGAACTGTACCGTGTGGCTTGGTTGCGGAATCCTCACTTTTCTATTCAAGCATTTGTGAAGTCCATTTGTGACTTGCATGGTGTAAGTCTGTTTTGCTTGTTATATTGGCATCGCTCAAGGTACTTATCACGCCAATTTTCGATATCATTTGACCTCTATCTGCAATTGCGGACTCGTGTGGACTCTCTCATCAATACCGCGATCCATCCCAATTCTCCTGACTGGCGTTTGAGGAACGCTTGCCCCTGCTGCATGTATGAGCTGCAAAATGAGCCTACAATGACTTTCCGCCTGCTCTATGCCATGGATGGCAACAACTCACTCAAGAGGGTCTTGTGACGACTAATAGGCGCTGAACTATACAATGGGTGTGCAACAATCGTTATCTTTCTTGGGAGTATGTTAATATGTACGTGAGTCCAGCACAAAGTGAGGAGTATTCGGTAAGACCATGCATTCATTTCCAGAAATTATGTACATTGACAATTATCTACAGGTAGAGCATTCTGATGAGGAGAACCCGTGCACTGGGCGATGGAAGAATATGGACGATGAGAAGACAAAGAGATCATGGGGGCTTTACGATGAAACAGGCATTTTCCTTGCTGTTTGTCGTCATGGTTTCTGTTTGCTTATCGCTGACATGGTCCAAAGTGGTGAACTGTAAGTCGGACTTTGTTTCTTTCAAATTTGTACTGACATTTTCATTACAGTGCTAAGTATCCGCTTTCCATTGTCGCCAAGCTGCTTGATGCCTTCGGCACAGATCTGGGCAGCGAGTATGATATTGGATGTCAATTTAAAACCACCCTCGACAATAGCGCATTGGGTCCACTCACTCGCTCTCTCAATCATACTTGTTTGGTCGGAGCCTTCCATGGATACGCACACGAACATCTCTGCCAGTTGTATCATCTCACAACATATGTATCTGGTCTTGGACTTGAGGACCTCAAAACTTGTGAATGCACCTTCTCGAAATCCAACGCTCTAGTATCAACACTTCGTTATGCTAGTGTGTTTCACCATCAGCAGCTCATCGCAGCGTATTTTGAGCATAACGATGAGTATGAAGTCTATCCCAGTCTTGGTAAGTTTTTTCGTGACTTAGTTCAAACGCAACAGTCTGATTCGACCTTAGGAAATTTTCTATATAATAACTACAAGCAGGCGCTGGATATTCTCTCAGACGGTGAGATCATCCTCAAGAAGCTCATGCAAGACATCCATATCCCGGACGAGTCTGTGTTTGAATGGTGGTTGCAAGAAGAAAGGGATTACCTGCACGGCCTGTGCAGTGAGCCGGAGCATGAGACGTTGCAGATGGAGTATTGACAGAATTTAGTGAACCTCACTGCTAGCCAGTAAGTCTTTCTTTCACTGACTCTACGGGTACTAACATTTTCTTGGGGCCAGGAATAACCTTGACAGCGCAAGATCTATCTGGGCGTCTGCAACACCATCAAGCGCTTCGTTTGGCACGACAGACACTGCCGCAACTCGCAGAATAGAGACAGCCCGCAGGCATACCCTTGAACTCTTCGAAAAGGATCTAGCAACTGTGCAAGAACTCAACTTGACATCGTGCAGCAGTGGGTCCCTGAAGATCCTGAGTGGCAAAATGCTGGACAGTTGGTTGCTAAAAGAAGATACAGCCTGATCCATATGGGCTTGGAAATGCTCATGCTCCCATACTGTGGTGTCTTCTTAGATGCCATCTTTTCCAATGTCCTGCGGATACTTCCCCCCCTCCATACTATTGTCTACATGCAATGTAGTCAAGGTGTGGGGGATTTCATGCATCACATTCACCTGATCCCTTCGCTGTGCTCTCTGACCATACTGCTGCAGGGTAACATGATGTTCCATCACCCTATTTGCTCTTTCAGGGTCATATTCCTCAACTCCTTCCTTCTCTGTGGGATGAGTGAGGCATCATTAGAAGCTACAATCACCCTGTTGCATGTGATCAGCATCCCTTGCCAGCAATTACACATTACCCTCCCTTTCCACTTCAATGGTGCCATCTTGGGGGAATTCATTCAATATGTGTAACCTTGATGATGATGCATTGCATGCGCTTGCATGTGGCATCCCCTAAATAGAGACCCTCATTCTCAGCACCTTGCGCTATTGGCCAGCACCTCCTAGGGCATCCCTAGCTGGGCTTGCGACTCTTTTGCTTAACTGCTGCACTTTGAAATACCTCGGACTTGCATTCAACTGCAGCCTGGGCATGTCGGATTTAAACCTCCTCCCAGTCCACAAGTTTATTGATATGTTGACCATTGGTGTCTCTCTGCCCTATAATGATGTCAAAGTTGCGATTTTTTTGCCTTTCCCTTGCCTAATCTCACTAGGGCATATGCAGAGCATTATGATTGAAAGCTCCTATGAAATAACTACATCCTTCCTGATCATCTCATACGAGCTAAACATTGGCAGAAAATCCTAGTTAGGATGTCTGTACTAACAGACAATCTCCGATCTAGATACATTGACATGTAGCATACTTAGACTTTAGGCTTTATGATTGTCCAAATTGTGTAAGCACAATGTTAATTCCTACAAAGATTTCCCTCTTCTCTCTTAGCAAGTTTGCAGTTGTTGAGAAATGCAAAAGTTTTCTATTAACATATTTGACACTGCAGTGTCCTAGTGACACCTGTTTGTGATACAGGTGCGAGTTTTTAATCTATTATATAACGAGTCATTCACCCAGCTCTAGATCTCAGTGCAATCCAGTCTATTTGTGCATTGGCACACTAACTTCTTGCATCACCACCTTGCGCATTTTATTTGAAGGTATGCAATTCTGAATATATCGGTACCCTCATTCATACTTTGGCTCAAAATTGGAATCTTCATATGGTGGTGGTGTTTCTATTCCACTAGTCATCAAGTTTACTCACCAAGCCCAGCTACTAACCTGCCCCAGCGGTCATCACCACCTGCTGCACTGGATTGCATGAAATCATGATCTTCATATGGTGGGGCATCATCTTTTGCACCAACCATGGAAGAACCACACCCTGCCAAATGGGTTTGTTTTCAAGAGACCTAACCAATACTTCAGCATGTGAGTTGTCACATTCATACTGAAGGTTCACTCATACAACAATTTTATCAGTTGCATGGAACTCAAAGTTCAACCAGAAGCCATCTCCCTCTCAAGAGGACATATGTAAATGGACTACCATGCACAAGGCAATGGCCCTGTACTTCATCAGAGACGTTTTCTCAATGAGGGAGTGGCTGGGACATATTTCCTGTCAAATTGTGCTAATTGTTGGAGTGGTGGTGGGAATTGAGGTGTCCAAGAGATAGATGATGTACACTGGTGAGCCAATACTTTTCCTCAGTTGTTGTTACTCACCCGGTCACAAAGTGGATGATTCTACGGCAGTAATTGAATGTATGCTTCACCACCCTCTACCCTATGCTCACCTGGACAGGAACTCCCTGAGATTGGCAGTGTTAACTGAACTGCACAGTCATCCGCTGCCTCACCCTCTGCCTCCTGCTACTGCCATTGGCTACCCAGTCCAAGTCATTGGTAGAGTCATGGAATTCCATGGCCAGCAGCAAATTCAAGCCAAATCCATCAGTACATTCTCTCTGCCTTTCTGACCCTTGCCTTACCTCCTTTAGAGGCCTGCGATTCAACCAACAATCAATGGAAACATGCTCTGGCCAGATGCCTGAGGTCCAGACTGTGCGTGCATGGACGCCAACCCCTCCTACTCTGTGGCTATCCAACTGCATGAGTCCCTTGTTGTATCAACCCACTCGACATACCTGATTGAGCGCGGGAGCTTGGTTTGGCTGGATGTCACTAGTGTGGTCAGGGTAGTGATGGCCGCCATTGGGTTGGCCACCATTTTGGTGGCCCAGGTTGTGAGGCGAATGAGGTTGAGTGTTCATGCTTTGATTGATTCAGATGGCTGCTTTGTGGTTGATAGCAAAAGGTATCATATCACCCTCTGACACTTATTTTATAGGGAAGTACTAAGTGTCAATGGCAAGTGGTGGTGAAGAAGAAAAGTATTAACTCACCCTCTGACACTTGTTTTATAGGGAAGTACTATGGCGGCTGTATTGAGGTGGCATTGGTAGCAATGATGTATCACTGCTTGGAGGGTCATCGTGAAGAAAAGAGCTAGAGGCTGTGGTTCCTGAAGGAGCAGGAGAGTGGCCTGAAGGTGGCTTATGGGGAAGCAGATGCACTTTGTCCCATAGAGATAGTAAAGACAAAGATCTTTTGTGAAACATTTTCCATGTTTTATCAGAAAAAATACATAATGTTCGCAGTATATCCCTCTTGGACAACAACAATGACTCCCTCATGGCACTCTCAGCTCTTCCATACATCATTTAGTTCAAGCTGTCAAACCTACAGAGAAGATCATTCACTGGCACTGGCAGCAAAGAGGATAAGGATGAGAACACCAAGAAGAAGCCCTGCCACCTAGGGGTTTTATAGATGATGAAGAAGTGAATACAAAGGGCTTACCAGAGGACCAAGAAGCTTGGCAATCAGAATTGTGAAGACCATAAATCTCTTAAAAAGGATCAATGCAACACTGACTTGACTACAGTTTTTACTTTTAAGAAAGGTCATGTATCCTCTCCCAGTTTTCATTGTCTTATTCTAGTCCCAGTGCTGCAACATCACAAGATTCATATAATAAGCAAATATATAATTTCATCCAAGGTATCCCCATTGATTAAAAACACAAAGATAATTGAACCATAAAGTCAAGTGACCTTAACCTGTGGCCAAAGTGTTGTGCCATCATGCATCCAACAATGCAGTAGATGCTGAGATCTAAAGACCAGTGTCTGCATCCAGGTCTGGAAACACAGGATATGACACATCTTCATTGTCCATGTTTATCAAGTCACACTACTTTATTGATATTGATAATTAACTGTGCAGCCAGGTCCTGAATGACTAGATTATTTCATAGACATTCCAAATGACATGAATTTATTATTTGGGTGTCAAGTGGTTGCCTGCCAAGCTTGGCCATGGCCCTGTATGTTTGGTGTTAATATTGTCATTGTACTGGAATGGTCTTGCAGCAGCAAAGATTATGCATCTTGCTACCTCAGTTCCTTCTTTGATTGCCATTACTGACTTTCACTCTCCAGCAGCTTGTAACTATGAAAATGGACATGCATTCCTGGATTATGTTGTTCTTTCAATCACCATTTCCCTGCTTTCAATATACACTTCATAATGCCTATGAGAGCTTCCGATATGACACTTTATCTACCTTTCTGTGTCTTTAATATCTTCTCTGAATTTGCATGCCTGCAATGATCCATCTAGCCTGAACAAGTTATTAATGCTCATAGAGATGGAATAAACAAATGAAAGTCTGGAGGAAGAAGGGCCTTGATGTATGACTCAAAGTACTGGAGAGAGAAGGGCCTTAATATATGACTTGAAGTCCTAGGCTTTGCTATAGCAATGTTTCATGTATAATACTTTTTGTTGCATTACAATATATAATGTACAAGTACTACAAGAATAGGTGGCAAAGACCATGGGACAGCATGTCAGTGATCCTCAAAAACTCAAGGTGGCAGTGACTGCTACTTTTACCAGTTTCTCAATGAAATTTGGCCCTCATATACCGCACCATCATGCTATGGATTATCTTACAACCTACTCTATAGCAAAGCTGCAAAAGTTAAACTGGAAGAAATTGATAGACTGAAGGCCAGGAGACTGCTCACTCTGGATGAAAGCATAAGCTGAGAAAAAATCTCTTTGGGTCCCTCACTGTAGAAGTACAGCAGTATGACATTATCTTGGCTCTTAAGGATACATCAAGTGTGTGAGGAACACTTGATAACCTTATGGCTATATCAGAGAAAGAAATAAAGGCCATAGAGATCAGAATTATGTAGTCTATAAAATGGCTAGGAAATTTAAAATCTGAATAGTGGTGATCTCCAAGTGGTGAATATAAATCATGTCAATAATAACATACCAATAATCTCATCATATCTTGATGGGTCATGTGAGTATACTTGCAACTGTTACAAACTAGGATAGTTCTGATGTATAGCTACTCGATAGGAGTAATCCTCAAAGTTGAAGTTTTTGTAGTATGAGGGCCTTGTCTTTGCCTTTGTGGAAAGAGGGAGGATTAAAATGTGATATAATTTCACCAGATTTAGCCTCTGTATTTTGGGCTCGAGGGTAATACAGGGGCTACATTAATAATTATGCCATTGTCATCCATGACAACATCATGTACTTCTTTGTCCTGCTCCACCTTCTCATCTTTGAGTTCTCCATTCTCAATCTTGTTCACCAGTCTCTCATTCTTGATCCTTTCCTGCTCAGCCATTCCTGAGGCGTCATTTTGTAATGCTTAATATTATGTTTCTTTTTTGAGATACAAGGCTTTCATGTCCTTGAGATGACAAGTCTCAAACTCCTGTTTTGTCTCATCTTAGCTCAACAATAAATAATACATTCATCTCAGTACCAGGTTATACTGCTGGAAAACTAGGTCTCTTAGGATCTGAAACCTGATTTTTTGCCATCAAAGCAAACTACCTGGACGTCTCAAAGTTAGGGTTGGGAATATCCAGTGTATCTATACATATACTTATGGTATCATTTCTCACATTTCTCTGACTATTAACATGACTTTCTGACCTCCCTAGGTTGTCCCTGGGGCAAGTTATTCCTTACCTTGGGATTGTGGCTTGTCTGTTTACATTTATCTACCAAATATCCCCCATATCCTAGAGTCCAGTGCTCCCTACCTCTTTGGCAACTTACACTGAACTCTAGGTACTGTATACTCTTACTATACTTCAATACATTGGCAACTTACTCTGGACTCTAGTCCTGATCATCTCTCCATTGAAGGAGGTACAATACAAGGCTAGAGGTGGTGATGGATGCAAAGGTGAATGGGGAGCTTTAAAGACAATACCCCTGTCAAATGATAACTTCATGGATGTGTAGGAGTGTATAGAAACTTGCATACACAATGGAGAGGGTGAGTTGAGTACATATGGGTCATTGTTTTTTATTCTAGAAGGAAAGAGAATCAAGCTCATTACAAAGGATGGTCAAAGAGGACATTTCACAGGACTAGAAGAGGCACTATATTGAAATCTGTCCAACCTTGACTAGCCATATGTGATGAATAGGAGGCATGGTGGGTTATTGGTGGTCATGTGAATCTAATTTACACCTTACTCTCTAGATATTCCAGTTGTAGAAAGCAAAGATAAGATGTGTTGGAGGTAGCACTATAGGCTGAGATACAGTAGGAGAGATTCCAACAAACCCACATTGTATTCAGAAGCACCTACAATCTCTACTATGAGTCAATCTGGATGAACAGCAACTAAGTGAATTTTGTATCTGACAGTGATATATATCCTCCAGTTCCACCTGCCATCGCTCTAGCGCCTCCTGTATTGCCTATTCAGCATGCAGTCAACCCAGCGGTCCCAGATGTCCATCCTGGAGATATGCCTGGCACCTTAAGGCCTGATCCAGCACCTCCTCAGCTTCCTGCACATGGACCTGTTGTGCCAGCTGCCCCAGGTGTTAAGATGGGAATGAAGTGGGCTGCTTCTAGAGGCTAATAAGTGACCTGATATGATCAGGACTACAGTCCAGAGTAAGTTGCTAATGTATTGGAGTATAGTAAGAGTATACAGTACCTAGAGTCCAGAGTAAGTTGCCAAAGAGGCAGGGAGCACTGGACTCTAGGGTATGGGCGATGTTTGGTAAACAAATGTAAACAGACAAGTCACAATCCAAAGGTAAGGAATAACTTGACCTAGGGATGTCCTAGGGAGGTCAGGAAGTCATGTAAATGGTCAGAGAAATGTGAGTAATGATACCGTAAGTATATAGAGATAAAACACATAGAAAGCATACTGTAGAGGTGAATAATCATATAACTAACACCAGGTCCTCCTCTGCCCGCTTCTGCAGTTGGCATTGGTGCCAGACTGCCAGCACGAGCTCATTGCCCTCCTCACAAGCGGTGGAAGCTTTCTAATGCACAGTTAGATGATGAAGTGGATGATGAGATGGAGGATGCTGATGTGGGCTTTGAGGTGTGCTACTCATCCTTCCTGTCTTGTTGACGATATGACCTTTGCATCGAAATCTCTCACTGCCATTGACCAAATCATCTCCCAGCTCTCTCAGCACTTCAAATTTCGCGATCTTGGTCCTACCACCCAACTCCTGGGCATCAAGATAGATAGAGACCGTCCCAATCGCTCCATATCTCTCTCCCAGCGTCAGTGCTCACTTGACATTCTCGAGCGCTTTGGCATGGCTGATTGCAAGCCTGTCACCACTCCTATGGAGCCAAACCATCGTCTCTCTCGCTCTCAATCACCTCAGATTGCTGAGGAGGTGTCTTTCATTTGTGTTGTGCCCTATCTTGCTGCTGTTGGCGCTCTGATGTATCTAGCCACCACCCACTCGTCCTGACATTGCCTACACTATTGGCGTTCTTGCCAGGTTCAACTCAAACCTAGGCATAGCCCACAGGCAGGCTGTCAAACACCTCCTTCACTACATCAAGGGCTCCGTCGAACATTGGTCGGGAGACCAAGGCATGGTGGACATGCATCATTTGTTGAATAATTGGGCCTCTGTTTGAACCAGCGCAGCCGTAATGTGCAACCGCCAGTCCCTGATCACTGAGATCCAAAATGTCCACCTGAGGCATTTGATATACTGACCTCCATAGGCAGTTACTGGCGAGTGATCATGAAGTTGCCCAACTATGTCCGCACCCCTCACCCAGATTATGCCAGATTGCCATGTATGACAAGCTGTAAACATCCTGTCCCACTCTTATTCTGCACATCCTTGTCCTTATCTGTCATTCCCTACATACAGACACATTCTCTTGCCCAAGTATCTCATTTGAATACATTATCAGATATTTAATATAATTTCTCCAAGAGGGGAAAATTTGAGTAGGCATTCCCTCACTGGGATCTCAGGGTACTGTAGAGTTACAACTGTAGCTTTGCACCCTTTTGGGTGTGACCATGTCACACTTAGCTTTGCAGCTTCATACGCCCTTGTGACGTGTGACCTATCCAAGTTAGCTTCACCCCGACTGACTCGGTGCAACAATCTTCTCTCTTCCTTTTGGTGGTGACATGGACCAAAAGATCCTCACATCATTGCCTTGGGCCCTCTGCTATGGGCACATTTAGAATGGATAAAAGGATGGTCAGCCACATTCCATGTGAGTTTGTCCCCCAACTCAGTGCAAAACCTTCTCTCTTCCTTTTGATGGTGACATGGACCAAAAGATCCTCGTGTCGTTGCCTTGGGCCCTCTACTATGGGCACATTTAGGATTGATAACAAGATGGTCAGCTGTATTCCATGTGAGTTTGTCCATTTCTCGGCATGTCTATCACTTTTGACCCTTCAGAATGGCTCTCGTGCGGTCGTTTGTTTCCCCAGGGATGTCCTCCGAAAATAATTCAAGACGAGATCAAACATCTTGAAGCCATGCCACTGTGGATCAGCATCTCCACTCCCTCCCCAGATCTCTCCGTGGATACATTGCTCAACCTTTCCATCAACCTTGCATTTGATGACATTGATAAGGGGTCAGTCCTTAGGTTTTTCTCCCAACAATCTGCTTTGAATGATTCTGAGCTTCTGAAGGACTTTCTATCATGTCCTGTATCATCTTTTGCGCTCTCGTCAGAACTTCGACAACTGTTTGGACAAGCGTGGTTTGATGGCTGTCATTCCATCATTCACGCAGCTTTCCCAACAACTCCTCTTCCATTATGGGTGCTATCATACTGGTATTCCATGGCACAGGTCATGGTGGCTCGATGGTACTTGGTTGGCTGCACGGGATTGGGTCGAAAGGAGAAGGGAATCTGCAGATAATGATGGCTTTATTGTCGTTATGGAGATTTTAAATGTCCTTGGCTGTCTTCCATGGGATGTTCGCTGGAAAGGTTTTGGTGCAGAGGGATCAGTTCGGTCATCAGAATTAGCTTTACTGCTTGCTGACTCTAAAATTAATGGATGTTTGATTGACGCTCTCATCATGTCGGTGGTACACAAATACATGCTCTCAGACCCTGAAAATTGCTCAAGAGTTGCTATCAAACCACTTGCACTATCTACTGCACTACGATGTGATGCTTCACAATGGAAGGAGTATGCAACACACAACGCTTTCAAATGTCTCCGCTATATCGGTGACTGCCTTCATGATGGCACGCTCCAATGTGTTATTTTTCCCATCAATATCACCAATCTTCACTGGGCAGTCTTTGAAGTTAATGCATCACAACAAGAAATACTCTATGGTGACTCGCTTGACTGGACTTGTCCCTCTGCAGACATTGATGTAATGCGCTGTTGGCTGAAGCAGCACAGCTTCAAACCATTTCGCAAGGCCCTTGGTATGCCACATGGGGACCAGCATGATTTGTATTCATGTGCAGTTGCTGCTCTGAACACGATTCATCATGCAATATTCCAAGACCACTGTTTTCTGATGATGTGAAAGATGTTTTGTGCATGGAAGAGTTTGTAGTTCTTGCTTACAGTCACCTTGAGAAGAATGAAGTAAGTCCTGATCTACTTGTTGTTGTTATTGTTCTCATCATATTTTGGACAGCTCCTTGGTGATACAGACAATATCTCTCTGTCAGACATTGGACTCAGATGTAGAAATAGTGGAGGCCGATATACCCAACATTGCCATTGACCCCGATCTATCAGAGTCGAACTCATCATCATCATCTATACCTGACGTCGCTGTCGACCCCAATCTATCAGAGTCGATCTTGTCATCATCCAAGTTTGACATGTCCTCAACGGAGACCAAGGTGCATCTTGATCTCCGTGCATCAGATGAAGATGTAAACGAACTCGAGAGCTGGAGCCTGCTATGAGGGTCAACTGGCAGAACCCACTGTTGTGGGATACAATCCTATGTGCTGCTGCTATTGTAGGATATGGCATGTCTCCAAATCAATCGAGAGGGAGGTAAAGATACTAGACCCAGTAAAATTCAAGGCGCTCACTTCACAAGTCATTGGCCAATGGATTGATCGTACCGGCACATGTCCAAGGTGGACTGACAAAGTCCTTGATCACGCTAAACATGGTGCTCGTCCAGAAGACACAACCACCGGTAAATCCATTCTTTCTCCATATCCTGACGTCATCAGTGTCATTGTCAAGGACATCTCCAAAACACTATTACCCATATCTTTGACCACATCGCAAAGGACGGCTCAAGCTTTCACTGCACAGAGTCATGGGTCAAGAAGTTCCTGTTTGAACATCTTCACTGGTCATTTTGTCGTGCAACTTGCGCTGCACAAAAACTCCCTGAAAACACTGATGAATGCTGTCTCAAACAGTTCTTGCAGCTCGCACTCACTATTCGTGACTGTGCAATCTTTCATCCCAGCTTCTATGTCAACAACAATCAAACAAACATTATCTACCAGCCCGCCAACACCTCAACATACGAAGTGAAGGGCTCAAAGCAGGTCGCTGTACTTGGACAAGACAAGAAGCGAGCATTTACTACTCTCGTTGGAATCTCTGCAGCCGGTGATGCTCTGCCTTTCCCGATCATATATTGTGGGAAAACAAAGTGCTCACTCCCAGCAACAACGTCTGCACAGCACAAGGAGGCTCGGCAACTCAGATTCGAATTTTGTTACTCCAACACCGACACATATTGGTCCAATTTTGACTTGATGTGTAGCTATGTTTCGGACATCTTGGTGCCCTACTGGAAACGCCAAAAGGAACTCATAGGAGCACCTCCTGATCAAGAATGTCTTCTGCAGCTCAATGTTTGGTTGGTTCACAAGTCCATCACTTTTCAGACTTGGTTGAATGAGACGTACCCATGGATCAAGTATTGGTTTGTCCCTGGAAACTGCACAGGCATTGCACAACCATGCAATGTCAGAGTTCAACGTCCCTTCAAGCTGGTGGTGAAGCGCTCCGAACATGCCGACATCGTAAATGAAGCTTTAGCTTTGTTGTGAAAGACCCAAGACACTCCATCTGCATTGCAGCTTGATACAACATTGCCCACCCTGCACGACCATTCCATGCAGTGGCTACTGAATGGGTACCACACCATCAAGAAACCCGAAATTATCAAGCAGGTTTGTTTCTACCTTTAACTAAATATCACAGTGTCCTAATGACTGTACATTCTAGGCTTTTGCATCCTGCCATGCAGGTCCATTGTTCAACCTCTCATTTGACAGCCTTACAAGTTGTGAGGCCTTGCAATGACTTCAGGATGTGCAGAAGAATGAGCCAGACCTCTGGACAAAGATTTCAACTCGCCAATATAAAATTTCCCAGCAGAACAACATCGCAGATCAAGAGCCAGCATTCACAGATGATGCTGACACCTTGGACGGAAGTGATGTGGCAGTTGAGGCTGTCTTACAACATATCGTAGATGGTGGCCAGGACCCACCAGTTGGTTACAGCGTTGATCCCAATGGCTTACTTGTCCCACACAACGAGTCGGAGGTGTATGAGTCAGAGGTCTCAGGAAATGCTCAGGCCACTGAGGCCTCAAACGCAGGTGAGGGAGAGGAAAGCAAGGAGATGCCTCATTTTGGAAGAGGACAGCACAGACGCATAGCCAATACCTTATATAACGATTTTTGGTCGCACTGCTAACTTGTCTGTAGTGATTTTTGGTTCTTCCATTGGCGATTTTTCCTGTTTTACCGCTTGTCACAAAATAGCTTCACTCCCCAAAATTTAGTGTGACCGTCACATCAAATAGGTTCAATTTGCTGTGGGGTGGTATTTGTGACAAAGCTATGGTCGTAACTCTACAGTAAGTCATCAACTTCAGACGTACCACCTTGCTGCAGGCCGAAGATAACCACACCCTTTGCCCGGTCATTGAACCATACCTAGGCCCATGACTGTCTGTCCATTCCTTCATCATTGCCTTGGACCCAGTAGTTGACCAATCCCATATCCGGGCCTGCCCATCACATCCTACATTGTCACCCTGCGCCCGGTCATTGAATTGTATCCATCTCTGGGCCCAGTCATCAAATCCTACATTGTCACACTGGGCCAGGTCATTGAATCATATGCATGCCCAGGCCCACCTGTCAAATCCTACATCGCCACACTGCGCCTAGTCATTGAATCATACCTATGCCTGGGCCTGCCCATCAAATCCTACATTGTCACCCTGAGCCTGGTTGTCAACCATACTCATACATGGGCTCACCCATCAAATCCTACATCATCCCCTGGGCCCAACCATCAAAACCAGCATCATTGCATTTGGCCCGGTCGTTAACCATAACCATACCCGGGCCTGCCTGTCACATGCTACACCATCACCTTGGGCCCAGTCATTAACCATCATCGGGCCTGCCTGTCACATCCTACATCATCACCCTGGGCCTGGTCATTCAACCATTTCCATTCCACATCCCTCAGGCCCAACTGTCAAATCCTACATTATCCTGGGCCTGGTTGTTAAATCCTACATCACAATTCAGGCCTGGCCCACATAAATCCATTGGATGCCTACCTCACTCATGCTGATGGTCAGATCTCACAATAAAATGAAGAACTTTTGGCAGACACATAGGGCTCAAAAATGAGAAAGTCAGGTCAGCTTTTTCAATGCAATTAGGGTTAACTGATGCATACCTGATAGCAAAAATCTCAGGATCCTCTGCTACAAACTGCTGAAAACTATTCAAGAAATAGTTCAACTTATCAGTTGTGAACAGATTCTTCTTTCTTTCATGAAGTTGATGGCTTTTGTTGGAGGATCAACATGCAAAAGCATCCATAGACACTGGCACTAAGACTGAGTCAAAGTCAAATCATTATAGATGTAGTGGCTGCTCCTTAGTTTGGCACTAGTATTCCTCGGTAGATAAGCAGAGAGAGAATCTTTGACAACAGTAGACATGATGTCTAAAGGGCAGTAAGTGTTAGTTATATGATTATTCACCTCTACGGTACACTTTCCTATGTATTTTATCTCTATATACTCACGGTATCATTCCTCACATTTCTCTGACTATTTACATGACTTCCTGACATCCCTAGGACATCCCTAGGTCGAGTTATTTCTTACCTTTGGATTGTGACTTGTTTGTTTACATTTGTTTACCAAACATCGCCCATATCCTAGAGTCCAGTGCTTCCTGCTTCTTTGGCAACTTACTCTGGACTCTAGGTACTAGAAAAAGGGCCGAACGTTGTCGGCAGGGACCTTGTTTACCACTTTTGGTGTTCTTTGAATAATAGAATCAGTCTTTGATTTATAAACAAATATGAATCACAATGAAAATACAAAGTTGAACTTTTACAAAGACAAATGTACAGTAAGATTCGAGTCGGCATAAGGATGTGGTCGGCATAAGTTCAAACAAATGTTACACAAGTGATACAATATGTCGAGTTACTATTACTGTGTGATGTTAAAAAACTGATGACTTGACTATAGGACTGAGCATGTACCATAAGTCAGCCTCTGACTGGGGTTTTCCCTTTGTTCCGTCGGTTGGTAGAGGGGTCATCATTGAGGTGACGGCATTTGAATGGACTGGTTGGCATGGCAGCAGCCAGTGTGAGGACAATCAGTTCTTGCAAGACTGCATTGAAAATGTTGTGTTTTGATGACTTGATATGATGATGACAGATAGCCATATGGACTTCGACAAGTGCGCCCTTCAGCTTTGCTTCATATTGGCTTGGTTGGATGAGATTGTGATTGACATCATACACAGGTAAAGGTTGAATGTCGTGGGAGGATATGAGATCGTGAAGTTGATCTTTACAATGCTCAGAAAGTGGCCAAGATGCCATATTATACTCAGAACTTAGACTTTCTGCAGTCACTAGTGTGAGTAAATTAATTAGTGGATGTTGTAATGTACTAGATTGTATGCATCTTACTTGTTGAGTCTTCACCATCTTCATCAGCTTCCTCATTAGTATTCTCTTCATCATCAGAAGTCTTGGCCTTGATGTCAAGTGGCACAGTGAGTTTGTTAAGATGGGAATGAAGTGGGCCGCTTCTAGAGGCTAATAAGTGACCAGATATGATCAGGACTAAAGTCCAGAGTAAGTTGCCAAAGAGGCAGGGAGCACTGGACTCTAGGATATGGGCGATGTTTGATAAACAAATGTAAACAGACAAGCCACAATCCAAAGGTAAGGAATAACTTGACCTAGGGACAACCTAGGGAGGTCAGGAGGTCATGTAAATAGTCAGAGAAATGTGAGGAATGATATTGTAAGTATATAGAGATAATGTTAAGACCGTACTCAAGTAGTATCGGATCCGAAGGGCTTCGGCCTCAGCTCGTGCGCTGTGCCCCTTTCCCGTGTCTTGCCCCTTATTTCAGAGAGCTAAAGTATCGCGTCTAGTGAGACGGATAAGTCTCGTAACGGATAAGTCTTGTATTGCAACGGATAAGTATTGCAATGGATCCGTTAAGACTTCCGGATATCGAACGTATAGAGTAACGGCTAATCCGGATCGGATCCAGACTAGAAACTAACGGGTGAGGACTGTCCGAAGACAGAGGCGGATATGTAGACTATAGGAATCTATCCTAAGTCTCGGAGTAGACAAGAGTAGCGTACTCAAGTCCGGATGGATAACGGAGGGACTTAGAGTCCAGACAGAATGAGTGCAATCTAAGATGATATTCGAACTGATCTACTACAGCGCATATACAAAGGTTTATATACTACGGATAGCTAACGGAATGATCCATAAGCAAAGGTGCGAGGCTATGTACGAAAGTATAAGCAAAGTCTAAGTGGAGCGTATTGGTAAGTTGGATGGATCACGAATCATGAACCGGGAATGAAGTACAAGTAAAAGCGGATTCGTAAATGTAGCGGATCAGTAAGCATAGCGGATCAGTAAGCAGAGCGGAAGTAAAGGATAACCGGTATACCAGTGTACAGGAATACCGAAAGGAGATGAACGATAGTTAGAGTTATATGAACAGGAAATGAAATAAGAATCAAAGCGGATCTGTGGACCGGACGATGGATATGTTCATCGGATCTGGATCGGATCTGAGATCCAGATCATCGGATCTGTAACCGGATATATGGTATATGACAGTATCCCCCCCTTAGGGCCGATCCCTAGAGGCACAAGAATCAGCGATCCGGAACGGATGGTATGAGTGCGAGACAATGGAGAAGCTGATGGGAGAAGTTGCTGAGTTCGGATTCTGACAGATATACGGATGCCAAAGCGTCGCAGGGTGTTCCTTCCTTTCCCTACTTTTTCACTACCACTAGCTTATCTCAACCATGACTGATAACGGATCCGGCTCTAAGAAGACCGCTAAGCAGACTCTGGCGGATATCCAGGCCGCGCTGGCTGCTGCTGAGGCCGAGGTTCGGAAGGAGGAAGAGGCTGAAAAGCTGAAGCAACAAGCGGAAGAGGCGGAACGGAAGCGCTTGGCAGGGATTAAGAAGATTGAACGGGCTGAGGTCCGAAGGGAAGCGGAGGAGGCTAGGCGCAGGGCTATAGTAGCGGAAATGGTGAGTTATGACTTGTTCTATCGGATCCGTCCCTTATCGGGTCCGTAGTCTCGCGCTATCTCAGCGGATAAGGATGGGGCTTGTACCCGCTGCGCTAAGAAGGGTCGGGCCTGTCTGTGGTCCGATGCGGATAGCAATTCCTTGGTAAGTCATCCTTGAATCTTCGGATCCGTGACTCTTAACGCTCGGATAGATCAAGGCTTGTAACGCGTGCCGGAAGGACAAGGCTCCTTGTCCCGGACGACCTGGAACCGTTACGGATTCCAAGTCTAAGAAGAGGCAGCGCGCTGCTGAGAACCCATCTCCGAGAGGCAAGGGTAAGAAGCGCCAGCAGAGTCCGACTCCGGATCCGGATATGAAGACGGTAGTAGCGGATGAGGTGGAAGTGGAGTATGATGATCAGGCCTGGGTTGCGGCCGCTAATAGCATTGTAGCGGAACTGGCTCGGACCAACGGATTGCTCCAGCAGAGCATCGGAGCGGCGGAAGGGAGTAGGACTGCTATAGAGCGGATGAATACTAACTTGGAGGCGTTTTTGGAGCAGCAGAGGGAGTTCCAGACCATCCTTCTTGAGGGTATCCGGAATGGAATCCGGATTACCGAGGCGGCTCGTTCTGAGGCCACTGACAAGGACGTTGATGAATCTGGATCCGGATCGGGTGGTGACATGGAGATGGATGGCTGAGGATTTTTGGATCTGCCTTCTCTGCTACTAATACTCTCGG